CGTTTGTTTGTTTATAATATTTTTTGGTAAAATTCAAATTAATTCTGTTCTATTATTCCTTTATATTATTTCCTTCCGTATTTTGGATTGAATTTCAGAGTTATTCTCGAACATAATGTTGATTATGTTTACACAGTTTTTTCTTGGTATGTTTGTGTACATACTTTCTATATCGAAGGAATATAATCTTATATTACTATTCAGTTCAATGGTTTTCAGCTCCGTCATGAGGTGGTTGGGATTGTGGACATTGAATGTATATGTATATGGCAGATTTAATTAATTAGGTAGTGTTTTTGTCAACTGCTTTGCCAATTCATGTGCTGGTGCACTTTTCCAATTGAGTGTGGGTCTAATAGGTGTGTTTGGTTTATGTAATGTTATTGTCGCGTGTAGGCGTGGAACTCTAAACCGTACGAGAACCAAAGGGCAACAATGATAGACATTTTGTCTGAGAACAGCAAAACATACCCACAGTCAGTTATAGAACTCTTAAGGCTAGAAGTAAAGAGATCTCTGCAAGGCGTCTGTTACTTCATAAATAACATTCCTATATTTATATAAAATAGGTATGTAAGAAAAGTGAAAGAAGTAATTGTACCAAGTATTAACAGTATACTCTCAGATTTTAGTTAAGATCTATATTAAGAATCACGGGGTTACCGCTTTTATAGAATAAGATGTTTATAAGGATGTTCTATAGAAGGCCGGATGGGCATTGCCTAGGCCTTTTTTGTATTCACAATATTTTTTCTACAATAAAAAAGATATTTAAACAAGAGCAACTGCACTAGGGTCGGTATAAGGGAAGACAGCACTAAAAGCATATACAACAAAGTAAACAACATAAAAACACGTAAGTGCAAGAAAATTAACATCTGAAAATACAAAGATAGCAGAAAGATAAAATTATACTAATGTACATTACAGTGAATTAGACGCCAGAATAGATACGATGGAAATATTCTACGAAAGAACCTAATAACAACAACAACGATTTGTCTAAGAGCACAGAAGACAAAGTGTGCAGTGCAGTGCAGGCAGTGGTCTCCCCAATAACAAAAATGTTGCCTGATGATGGTCCATATGTGGCCGAAACTTGTTGCAACAAGGAATGAATGTAAATTTTAATGACATTTTAGACTATTTAACAAGAACTTTTAGTGTATTAAGTATATTTCTAGTGTCTTTTATATAAAGCTGTTGTTGCATTATAAACGGTATACTTACGATCTAAAAATGTGAGCCGATTATCTAGAAAATGTGGGAACCTCGACGTCTTACAAACCTTTGGGCCTCCACGGACTGTTACAGGGTTACCTTTATCAAGTAGACAAGACAAGAGGAATGTTTTCGGTCTGTACATCGGTTTTCATAGTGTAGGGCAAGCCTCGCAATGAAGCTTTAGCAGAAACGTGTCCCAGAGCTGATCAATCTACTAGAACTGAAATTCAGTTCAGCTATATTTCTTTATCTGTTAACGTTTCGAATTGCAGAGTTTAATGGCCTGTAATTTGGCATTCTGCTCACAGAAGAGGATATGTGGGTTTCGCTAATATCTAAGACTTATTTTGTAATGGAGATGAGGTGAAAGTATGAATATTTTTTTAACATTAAGCCTCTTCACATGGATCTTGTATCGCAAGGGTTACGTCCTTGAGCTCAAATAACCTAGCAATTCCTATATTTGGCCTCTGGCATTACATTTACTCTTTGACGCAGATAACCATGTCTTTGTCTAATTTTCATTATTCCAAGATTTGTACCCAGGAAGCGCGCTTATCCACTTCACGAGCATTTTAAAACATAAACAATACTTAGGCATCGTACTGTTCTAATTAAGCATTACGCCATGACGGCGTATGGGGGACTGGATGTATAGATCCTTGGCACTAGTTGAAAGTGAGTGGCCAGCTTCACGCCCCTGCCGCTTTACCTCCGGGGTAAGAGCCCCCGGTACCCATTGAATAGGATGCTGGGTGAGCCCCAGAGCTGGTCTGGATGACGTGGAGAAAAGAAAATTCTTTACCCTACCGGGAATCGAACCCCGACACTTTGGTCGTCCAGGCCGTAGCCTGTTGTACCTATTATGCTTTCCCGGCTCCTAAGCTTCGTACTGTTCACATTCATATATTAGTGTGTTGTGCATAGCACTGTCTTCTGGAATGTGACGCATTGTAATCTCATAAAATTTTGTTGACGTTTTGGAGGAACGTTAGTAAAGTTCTACCAGACTAAGGCGTTACACCCAAGACGATAGTGCTTGTCATAGCCACCGCCGTGACAACTTCAGGTCTAAAATAATGTACAAATATTATGAGTTTATGAACGTGTCTATGTCGGGAGGAAGTCCTGTTTACACGCCTTCCGATCGGGTCATTCGCTATGAGTGACCTCTTCGTGTACACTTTGGGATACCCCTTACTGTTTCACATATACACATTATGTTTCAAGACACGCTACACAATATCCTTGGAGATGACTGCGGTAAAGTACCCAGTGTCGTGGCATTCCTTAATCGCACAGGAGTTGACAAGTTATTTAACAGCTTTCCTTTTAGCTCGAGCTTGAGCCATTACATGCTTGTTGTTGTCTTAAGACTTTTACTGGTTTACATACAGCCAGTTTTATTGGGTTCAGTTAATAAAACATTTATCGCATTATCTGTTAGGGCATTTGTTATCATTCTATCCCTGTAACAGGCCGTGAAGATCCATAGGGTCGTGAGACGTTGAGGCTCCAACATTTTCTCTAGACAATCGCCTCACAGATGTCAGCCTTATGTGCTGGCCACTGTTTACCCCCAGAAAAATTCCTAGTACAGTCGTAGGTGAGGAAGGAAATATACGTGATACTAAAACTCGACCTTGACTTATTGTAAATGATACTGGAGGACACATGAAAACATTAGACTCCAAGACATCCTCCCCAGACGTGACATGTTTACACTTCCGCGTGAGGAGCGACTTAAATTCGCAGTTGTTCGTTTTGAAAATATTCCTCTTAAAAAAATAATATGCTTTGCGCAATAATTTCAACGAACTGTCAAAGTAGCTTAGATTCTTCTCTCGTTCCTTAGCTTTCACCTCAGACCGGGGGGCCAGCCCCGTGGAAAGTCGATGGTCTCTTGTGGCACGGCCTACTTCTACTTACGGATGAGCAAACAGTTAGAAAACGAAAGATGGATGGAAATCAAGGTCACACTCTCTATTATAGAGATATGGCTGCCTGTTGCCAGCTGATAAGGAGATGAGATTGTCACCTTGAACGTGAGAGGTTTGCGTTAGTGTGGTGGCGAGGGGAAACAGAAGTGAAGTAGAGGTGCACTACTTATTTTTAAGCATCCCTTTTCAGTGATTAATTTTTAATAATTTATTTCAGTTATTTATTGCTCTTACCAGCCATGAACAGCACACTCGATAGATAAGAGCCAGCGACAACGTAACTGAGCCAATCGATCATTCTCTATAAGGAAATTTTCATTCACCGTCACGAGCACCACAGAACATCGAGAGAAAAAATTACCTCGGATACCCACATATAAGGGCTCTATATTATTCATCCTCAAACGAGGAAAACTTGGATTAATTATCCTTTTCAAGTTTAAGCATTTTAATTAATTCTGATCTTAACAGCATTATCTTACAATTTTTAATAATTTCAAGTAGTACTTCACGCGATAATAGTTCAATACGGCGGAAAAACCTACAACATACTGTATAATATACCCGAAGAGGTCATGTTGGTCAACACATATTACAACAATGACGAGAACAAATGAAATAAATATGACAGTGTAGCAATAACCATGCAACCCTCGAATATTTAAGAAATATTGTCTAATAAGACTGAAATAAATAATTAAAAGACTTCATATTCCCTTTCCATTGACATCGTTTTGCAATACGTACCAATATGGACTTGTTGGAAACAAATCACCAACATTCCAAGCAAAGTACGTAATTTGATTATCATACATTAATATCGCTGAAAACAGGATACTTGCCAGAAGAACGGTGTGGGTAGAGAATGTTAATAGAGACAGAGAAAGTGTTCCGAAGAAATCAGCCCCGTACACTGTCATAATAATGTGAACGTTGGCGCCATACGCCTTTCAAGTCACAGCCGATTCATTAATCGTCCTTAACTGTTATTTACTATAACATTAAAATTAAAACATAACGAAAGATTCGAAAAGAACAAGCTATTTTTCAGGTACGTGTACTAGGAATTTAAATTGAGCGCGATGGCGTTGCACGCACGCAAATGACGTCAGATTGTCAGGCGGGAACAGCAGACGACATCAATTCTTTTCAGATTAAGAATTATATAGCAACTTTCGAACGTGAGTGCTTCGTGAATTTATTTTTCAAATATTTTATCAAACATAGAATCACTTAGTAGCACTTTATTCATTCATAACAGTAATCGAATTCCTGTAAATCTAAACAATTTGAAGAATCGTCTGCCAACTATAAGAATTAAACCTATTCCGGGGCCGCACACTACGAAAGCTAATGCAACAGAAAATATATGCAATTATCACAAGTAGAATTATAAACATGTATTACATACTTCCAGTGTCAAATGATTCGGTATTAATGTGCAACTTTCATCATTCTGAGGCTTCTACTTTCTTAATAAACGTAGTGTAAAAATCTAAAATTCGTTAGCCATACAATAAGCATATTACGTATGACCAAAGTTTACTTGAGAATTTTATCACATTCTGGCGTAGAAGTTTGCAGTCGGGAATTAAGAATACGTCTTAGTTGAAATCGCTTAGAATTCGGTAATTTAGAAGTTTCAAGCTAATATGAATAAACCATGTAATAACGACCAACACATGTATCTACAATCGTATTGAACTCGCCCCCTTCCTTAGAGAGCTCCCACTAATATTCGGGCGTAGGTGTTGGGCAGCAGTTAGAATAGTCCTTTAGTTTCACTTTCAACGACTGACAGTCCTGGTCAACATATAATTATCTTCTCACACTAACCTGGCAACTTTGTACGAGGGTCCTTGTGAATGGTTGGATACCAAACTGTTTGATTCTCACATAGTTTGATGTTCTTCTTCTAACTTGTATACTATGTCCAAGTTGACACCACTTTTCCACACGAGCACAAAGTCTACCTGGACCTATACATGCCATAGTTCTGACTGTTGCGAGGTGATACTCTCACAACATAACCGTGTTTCAAGAGTGAAACTCCGGCACCCCGATCGTCATGCTATTTTATTTATAGGCTTAGCCACAGACTGTGTTCCACTGCTGCCAACAGGAGCTGTGTGAGCGGCAAACTCCGCTGCATGTCTCTAATTAGGCACCACATAATTATATTAGTTTTTACCAGCAGACCAAAGGATTCCAGAATTGTAGGCTAAATTTTCCTGTGTTCTGTAAATAAGCTAAGCCAAGTGTAATATCTTCCCATCTTCATGCAACAAAATGACGTTATAAACACATTGAAGTCCATAGCATAATGTACTCGTACTCCGTTTTGTAAGATTGTCTATAAATATCTATAAACTGTAGGAATTGTATTTCTGATTTCTGGGTTTACTACTATGAACACATGATTGTCGTCCGTTTTATGTAATGTTATAGGGCGGGTTGAACCACAAAAATGATCGACAGTTGTAGAGTGATTCCGTAATGTTGGCTACTCAGTATTGGCCCAGGAGAAAATGGCAGCTTCAATGCTTCGTCGTGTTGGAAGAATCCTGAAACAAATAGAAAATATTTTTGCGTTGGCATTTGGACGACAATTTCCGCCACGTAAGTCGTAATGCATGTTAATATAAAACACTGTTTACTATCTTCACATATTCTTTAGTGATTACATAACCTCCTTTTCAGAGAGTCTCTGTGTGGTGGCAGTACCAACAAATGCGACAAACAAGACAAGTCTAGACGTTCTAGACAATGGATTCCTGTGGGCAGTGCCTCGCAGCAGACGTTCAGTTGAGAAAAGATTAAGTCGGAAATTCGGCTACCCGGAATATGTTTATAAATTGTTACTTCCGAAACGAAATCTTCTTGTATGTAATACTTGTGGTCATCACTACGAAGCCAATCATTTGTGCCGTAAGTACGCAGTTACATGTTTAATTAGTAATGCGATAGTGTTCACTGCATGAAAACGTAGTTGTCAACAATATATTACCAGATGTACACTACTGTATTCGTCGTCAGTGTGCTTAATTATGTAATGAAGCACCTTCATGTTTACTTTTATTAAATTACTGTCTCTGATGTGTTCTTGTTCTTAATTTTCGTTGCAAGCTCAAAAATGTTATCATTCAGGTATTCCCTGTTTTTATTGATGAAATGCCTGCTGTCTTCATGTCTTATATTGATCACATTATCACCATTTATTTGGCTTGGATCCTGTAAACACTGCAATTGGCTTGTTTCCTTTGATCTAATAATTTTGAGCATCTTAGTCAAATCATGGCTTTTGCTTCTTCAATTCATAATATCCTAGGCAGAAATTTTGATATTCTCTCTAATAGTTCCTGAAGCTCTATTAATGTCCACCTCAGTGTCTTTAAGTTTTCCAAAGCTGCGAAGCTATTTGAGATTTCATCATAATACTTCTCCTTACCCTCTACCTCATTTAATTTCTTGAAATTGAACATCTCAGTATAAACTTTGTTCTTTGTTGATTTATTCACTGTCAGTCTCTCCCTAACTTTTGTCACCTCCAGGTAGTGGTCACTGTCACAGTCTGCTGCCCTGAATGATTGGACATCAAGTATAATCGAGTGCCGTCTGGTCTCTATCAATATATGGTGAATTTTGTTATGGCCTTAAAGTCATATATAACAACATCTCATTGGGGAATGATCTTTAGTCAACTTAATTACTTTATAATGAATTTTGTCATATGCTCTTCTTACCAAGCACAGAAGATAAGTGTTAGCTGTAGCAGCTTGTTTTGCTTTAGTGTATGTATCTCATTTCTTTGTTGTTTCCTTGCAGCTCACTGTTATGCTAAAGTTCGAACAGAAACAGAAGCAATGCAGTCGACTATTCAAAAAGAACTGGGGTTGAATCCTGTAGAACAGGAAGTAGTTGTTATATACGAAGGTGAAAAAGTAGAACAGCCAGCAGAATTCTGGAAGGTAAATATTTTTCTCAACTCCACAGCATCCAGACTGGCCCTGAGGCCCACCCAGCCTCCTATCCAATGGGTACCAGGGTCTTTTTTCCCCTGGAGTAAAGTGGCCAGCACATGAAGCTCACCATTCAACTCCATCCAGTACCAAAATCAAGAATGGTGGTACTATGCCATCACTCTCCACATGTCTTCATGGTGTGTTCCTGAATTGCTTAAGCACAGGGAAAACTTTTACCCTTACCTTAAGTAAATGAAACTAAGTTTATTTTTGAAAGTGACATTTATACATGTATTACATTAATGTAGAAGGTATTATGTTAAATTGCTGATTAGGATACAGACTTCACTGCCTTGTTCCTAATCTGTCATACTAGCATGAGATGTGTTTCAAATAGTACTCATTGATTGCAACACTTACAAAGGTTACAAGTTATAAACAGTTTTTCTTATTGCACACAAGACATTCCTTTCAAGAGGAACAAGGATAAGGTATTCACTGTTAAAAATGAACTTCAACAAAATTACCTAACTTCAGTAACTTGAAAAGTTCTGTAAAGATAGGTACAGTTATACTAAGACATGAAACTTGATACAGAATAACAGTATGCTGCTCTTGTGTAGATGAATTTTTTTCAGCAAAGCTGGTGTATAAAGAAAGTCATATACTGAACCTCTCTCCTTCTTCAACTGATAGTAAAGCGTCATAATGACCTTCATCAAGTTCACCACTAACCAAGTGGGATGCACTTCTTTCAGTCACAGCTTGATCAATTATAACAGTAACTGAGTAGATTTGGACTGCAGATACATAATGAACACTCACAGACACTTCATGAATTTTGGTAATAATAGCTGTTATTTCTGTGTTACCACTACACATTCCATTCTTAGCCTACTTTCCTTATTTTGAAAAAATAAAAGGAGGCTTATGAGATTACCTTGCTGCCTTTGTGTCTGTGTCTCCAACCCCCCCCCCAATTCCTGAAAGCCAGAAGAGACAGCCATTACAATGCCTTATTAAACTTATATGCAACATGACATGACATCTGAAAGCCATAATAGTGCAGTCAGGGAATTGCTGTGGAGACAGCCATACCTGGGCAATGGCTCAGTACTTAGGTGTTCCAACTCTTGCGTTTGTGCATGCTGCAACTGACTGCTAATTAAAGTCCTAAGCAAAGAGTTGTCCTCTTTATATATGAGTAACATCAGGTCAGACTAGAGGGAAAATACCAACTCCATTTCCTCTGTTGTTAGCCCACTTTCTGTGTGTCTGTATGTGTATCCCCCTATCATTGCTAGACAGTAACTTAGTAAACACATTTCCACAGTAACAGGTACACACGCAACAATAGAAGAATTGTTGGACGTATGGTTTTCTATGCAGTTCATGTCATATCGGAGGAAAGTAGGTGATTAGTTCTTCCCAGTACTTTCTGTTCACACGTACATTTTTATATTAAAGTTCAACTACAAAACGTTAGATGTCAAATGCAATAAAAGGGTAAAATCTTTCTGTCATACACATAGCACAGATTTTTCTATTAGTACACTTTAGTTTTCTTTATATTCCGCTTGTGTACCAAGGCTTTTAAGTATACAGTTCCTGTCTCTAGCTACAGTTTTCACACATAACCCTTCCATTAATCTACTGTAATAGGCATTTAAATCATAATCTTGCTGAATATGCATACTGTCAGTAATGAATATCTGTTTTCCTTGATGCACTCCTCCTTGGCAGACAATCCCATAACTCTTAAGGTTCAGCCACACAAAGCGCTGTGCTATGTTGGATACATACACTGTGTACATTCTGCGATGCAGCTGACATAGCATATGGAAGTCTGTGTGGCCAGTCACATTGGCAATAAAGGGAGATATTTTTCTGTTCGTATAGCGAACATAGCATACGTAGCGCTCTGTATGGCTGAACCTTTAATATGCATCTGCACGTTATTCCAAATTGCCTGAAATGCAATATGCAGAAGTCTCAGTTTAAACAGTTTCCTCTTGTGGCTACAGTTTACATGGATGATGCCTTCATTGACCCACTCTTATATACTTTAAATTTCACTGCATATATGCACTTAAAAGAAGAATCGAAAGGAAAATAGAGGATATACTTGGAGAGGATCAGTTTGGATTTAGAAGTGGAAAAGGAACCAGGGATGCAATTGGGATGATGAGAATTATAGCAGAATGAACTTTGGAGATAGATGAAGAACTGTGTGCTTGCTTTATAGACTGGCAGAAGGCATTTGACTGTGTAAATTGGACCAAATTAATGCAGATCCTAAAGGAAACAGGTATTGATTGGCGTAAAAGAAGATTGATTAGTAAATTGTACATGGATCAGAAAGTTAGAGTGTGACTGGACAGAGGGGAGACAAGAAGTGTGAAGATTGGAAGAGGAGTTCGACAAGGATGCTGTTTATCACCAATTTCGTTCAACTTGTACAGCGACTGCCTTACCAAAGAAGCTCTGGACAGGCTTGGAGACTTCAAATTAGGAGGGCAAATTATTCAAACTGTGAAATATGCAGATGACCTTGTGTTAATGGCTAAGGAAGAAACTGTGCTACAGGGCATGATTGATAGACTAATCGAAATTGGAAGGTGCTATGGCATGGAAATGAANTGGGGCTGAAACTTGGACACTTAGGGCAGTAGATGAGAAACACCTGGAAAGCTTCAAAATGTGGTGTTGGAGAAGGATGGAGAAGATCAGTTGGACCGATTATGTGAGAAATGAAGAAGTGTTATTTAGAGTCAGTGAGCAGAGGAATATCCTACACGAAATAAGAAAACGGAAGGCTAATTGGATTGATCATATCTTACGCGGTAACTGCCTTCTAAAAGAAGTTACTGAAGGAAAGATAGAGGGGTGGATAGAAGTGACCAGAAGACGAGGAAGAAGACGTAAGAAGATGCTGGATGACCTTGGGGACAGAAGAGGATATTTTCATTTGAAGAAGAAAGCTCTAGATCGCATCAAGTGGAGGAACTGTTTTGGAAGAGACTGTGGACCTGTCATCTTGACAGATTACAGATGAATGAATGCACTATCAGATTTGGAAATTTGTTTCTGGAAAAGACCAGGACTGCAATGCCTGGTGATCAGTGTCATGACTATCTCTACAACTTTCTGCTGGGGACATTCTTTAGATATATCAGTCTTAGTCCTGCTGTGTAGCAACGGCGGCATCCCATGTTACGTCACCATGGGGAGAGGCGAGGTGTTGACTGGCTTATTAGCGTAGCAACGGCAACGCTTCGAAAGTGTTTTGTCACTGCTGGTGGGGTGAGGGGTTGTCCCCCATTGCGCAACACATCACAAAATATATATATAGTTATAAAAAGAGAGAGAAACAGACATAAACTTTTCTTGAATTTGTATTTGTATCTGCTAGTGCAACTACTATGTCAAAATACTGTGCAAGCAAGAGAGGCATACATTTCTGGTCATTATGTTGTAAAGCTATACAAGATCCTGCCATCTTGTAAAATCATGCCTTAAAATAACTTCTGAACTTCATCTAAACACAAGTCCCCTGCCAGACATGAGATGTAGGATGGATCAGTACACTTATATACTCTTATCTGGAAGGAAGGTTTCAGATCTTTCATCTGTGCCTCTCTAACCGAAGGTATGGTTACAGCATTGGATTATGAATCATGAACTTTTTTTTCCTGCTTTCAGGGTAAACGTGTCATTGAAATGAAGAAGGAAAGACCATCATGGTTTAGTAAAAACTTGCTTGAAAAGTCAACAGTTCAGCCTTCAAGTGGTGGTGATGTAAAACCAACAGAACTAGCATAACCACAAGTCCCTTTCAGTTCTTCGGTACTAGGTGAGCAATGTGTAGGCTGTAATCATAGTTCTGGATTGATTTAGATCTCATCTTCCTTCAAATTTGGACCAGCACACAGGTGAAGTGTGATCATTTGCAAAGAGCACCTAGCATTGCTGTGCAGTATAATTATCTAATGGGAAGGGATCAGTAGAATATCAACATTACCATTTAACATGCAGGTGACATACATTGCTGTAATCCCTCTTGGGGACAGGGTACTTTTGCCACATTCATCCTGAAAGCACACGATTTCATTCAAAACACAACAGGGAGATAAGAAGTACACCTGTGGATCTGTAAACATTCTTATCTAAGCCAGACTACTATACAGTTTTTAAAAATACTAAGAGATGGCAGTTGCATGAATAAAAGCATAAATTACATAGCTGATCACCTGTGTTGGGCCACCGAACTACATTGAACTGTCAGACCTATTTCTAGTGTGTTCATTTAAACCAGTACACAATTGGTTAATACAGTGCATTCAGCCATCGAGGAAATCGGGAAGCGGCGTGGGTTGGATGCAACATTTCTCACAGATTGCTGCTGTAACTGCTGATAGCGGAATGAGTGATCAGTGCTGATAAACGCACACACTCTTGCTAGCCTAGAGCAGATGGTTCATTTCTCCACGATTACTGTGCCCTTCCCCGCTAGTGAGAGTGCAGTTGTATCGCTGATTTCCTCACATCAGTTTCTGTACATGCACACATTTATAGGAATACTGTAAAAAGATAACAAACTTAATGAGTTTTATAACAGGTGTTGGAAGTGACCCCCCTTTTGCTTGCAAACATGCCTCGCATCGCATAAATAAATTATGTGACACTTTCTGAAGTTGGTACACAGCAATTCAACTAATTATGCATGATGTTTCATTCTGCAGAGCTTCAGTGGTGCAATGATTATCCTTGTAGACTTTTCCCTTTAGGTTTCCCCAAAGATAAAAATCGCAGAAACAGATCTGGGAATCTGGGAGGTCACAGTCCCCTTCAGATTACTTTGTCTTCAAACACTTCCTGTATTGCGACCATGGATGCATTAGCCATACTTGCTGTAGCGTTGTCTTGCTGAAAATATCTATATTGTCTTTCTTCAGCAGTCAGCTGATTGAAGAACGGATTCAGTATATCATTAACATAGTGGTCAGAGTTCACGGGTTTGTGGAAAAATAAGGGGCCAATGATTCAGCGTGAACTTACAGCACACCACACCCCCACCTTTTCACTATGTAATGGCGCTTGCTGTATAGCGTGAGGATTTTGCATGCACAATACCTTAAATTGCCGTGGATGATCTTCAGAAAATGTCGCATAATTTATTTATGCGATGCGAGGCATGTTTGCAAGCAGAAGGGGTCACTTCCAACACCTGTTATAGAGCACGGTAAGTTTATCATCTTTTTACAATATTCCTATAAATGTGTGCATGTACAGAAACTGATGCAAGGGAATCAGAGACACGACTGCACTCTCACTAGCAGGGAAGGGCACAGTAGTCGTGGAGAAACGATCCATCCACTCTACGTGAGCAAAAGTGTGCGTGTTTTTCAGCGCTGATGACACATTCCGCTATCGGCAGTTACAGTAGCAGTCTGTGAGAAATGTTGTATCTGACTCACGCCGAACCCCTAACGGTTTCTTCAATGACTGGGCGCCCTGTATAACATTATTGAAAATACGTATTATACAATTCTAGAATGTGAATTCCGCACATCTGTGGTCTGGTCAAGTGGGATTTGTGGTGGACAAAGTGGCACTGGGGCAGGTTTTCTCCAAGTACTTCGGTTTCCCCTGCCAATCTTCATTCCACCAATTGCTTCACAGTCACCCTCACCTATCATCTGGGGCTGGTACAATAGGAAGTGGCCGCAGTACAAGGGACTTAGTCCCACCCCACTAGCAATAAAAAGGGGGGGGGGCTGGATGGAGTGTATCTTTGCTCAGGATAGGGACATTTGTAATCATAGTTATTTTGTTATTCTTCAAGTTGCATAAAAGGTGAACAGTTGCTTGACTGTCTGAGTAACTTAGTCACTTCTCAAGGACTCTCTGCTTGATTAGTTGACAATGCCTAATAGAACTATGAATACTGGCCCCTCAGCATCATTTCATAGTCAGAGAAGCCTCAAAAGAACTGGATGACCATTTCAGTTACTGTAAATAAGATCTTTCATGGGTGCCCTATGCTCCAAGTGGGAGCAACGGAATAAAAGAAGAGAAAAATAAACAAGATCTAAAAGTTTGTGTTGATGGTACATTAATACAAATATGTATTAATCATCCATCATCCTGTTTTTATTTAAAAACGTTTCGAAAACTAGATTCTGTCCCTGTGTTTAGGTATAACTTACTCAATTGGGCTCAATAGATAGAGCTAGATCTGGAGATAGGGACTAGCTCTATCGATTTGGCACAGCTCAGTATGTTTTACTTGAAGATGGAGACAGAATCCAGTCTCCAAAATGTTGTGTTTTTAAATAAAGACAGCATGGTGTTTTAGATAAAAACAGGATGATGGATAATGTCCAGAAACATAATATTTGTATCAGTTACTGTATTTCCCCAGATCTAAGACCTCATCGATTATAAAATACACCCTGGATTTAGTAATAGGTTTTGGGAGTGGGGATATACCTTATTACTTTGAATAAAAGCAGCACATTTTACACATTTTTTCCCATTGAAAAATTGAGGTGTGTCTTAAATTTGAGGAATGTGCACCTTTCTAATTTTTTTCCTAAAACCCACATTAAAAACTGTTTCTGTTTTAAATTCAGTGGCATCTTATATTCTGAGTAATTAGGTATATATATATATATATATATATATATGTGTGTGTGTGTTTTTGTACAGTAGGAATTGTCAATATTCAAAAGCAAAACTTCTTTGTATTAACAAACAGAAATCAACACAAACTGAAAATTTAAATTTGATGTATCAATTCAGTCTTTTCACTTGCACATCCAGTCTTACACCGAGTGCGCAGATTCTTCTAAGTGCTTTATAAGTGAGGGCAGTCAAGATCAGGATTGTCCCATCTTGTCTTACATGCCATCAGATGCATATGTGATGCAGCATTTCTTGGAAGACTACTGCGGTCTCTTCCAAATAGCAAAGACCAAATTTGCAAGTTTTGAAGCAGATGCCCTCTTCATCTTACCAGATGGTGTTAGTAGAAGTGTAGCAACCTAGCTTTGTGTTCCATCGTTAAATAATCTTTAAATGGTTTGTTGACTGAATCACTGAGTGGTTGAAATTGGCTGGTCATGCCACCAGCGTTGCAGCCAAGTCACAATTTTTCCTCTGAAGTTTACCCCTCAGTTCTTCAGATAAGTGTCCATGAAAGGTGTATACGATTAACATACCAGGTGGGTTACAAAGAACCCCAGGAACATCTCATTCTTAGGTATCATTTTGTGATGGAGAATAATATAAGGTGGTGTTATAAATTATGACCATGAGCAGCATAGCATCACTGTTACTTGCTGCTTTAGAATCAAGGAAATGCAGTAATTAATTTAAAATGTTTTTGGATACTTATATTGGAGGTAAAAATAAGTACAAGACAAGTGAATTGTACTTTAATTATATGTAGGGAAATTTGTATTACAGAGTTAGCAGCTGGTTTGAATAGAGCATTTACTAACAACTGCAAACTTCTGATTTTATGTGTTGCTATAAAGAGCATGACTGACAAAAGTACAGGTGTAAGAATCAAAGAGACAATTTTTTATTTATGTAGGATTTGAGGTTTTCACAGTGGTGGTTATGAAGAGTTCTGTCTTGTGGAATATGATGCCATGTAGTCCGCTGCATTCTGGTTTCTTGCTTGGCTTATTCTTCAATCCTGAAGATAGAGGCAACATGTTCCTTTGAAATGCAGTTGACTTTCAACAGACTACATGGCATTATATCCCAGAAGATAGAATTCTTCAAATTGTATTCATGTTCCAGGAAGAATACAAATTGTATACTTTGAAGCATGAATCACAGGCAAGAAGTGATGAGAGCTTAAGGTCCAAGACAAGGTGAAACAAGTTGTGAAGAGCCAAAACTAAACTATTTTATGATCCACAAATGAGGATAAATGGATACTACTGTTATGCTGTTACTTCTGGTGCTAATCAATAAAACAAGTTTTATAAATCAAACTTCTGCATATTCAGTGTCACAAGACCAAGTCTGAACTCAGATGTGGGACAAAAGGCAACATGGAGGAGCATGACACTGCACACTACTGAATTAAGACAACCTGAAATATACCAATCATTGGAATCGAGTTTGTAGCAACATTACTATGTATTTGTGAAGTCCAGGGTTAATATATCGCCCTGGACATCAGCTGTACTGTGGTTTGTCATGGCGTTCCTCAGTCCCTCAAGGCAAATTATGGTATTTTACCACAAATTATGGCATAGTCACTTTCACAGCCTTTCCAATTCATTATGACTAATCCTGTCATTTGACACTCTATAGTCTGAGGTACTGTTAGCATAAGTAAACAAATAAACAGTACGATTTTACTGAAGTGGTGGTCTATAACCTATAATAATGAAGGAAGAACTGAAATAGTTGACTATTTCAGTGATAGGATAAGTACCACGTGTAAAGAAGAAAGAAATGTTGCCAATTGGAAACCTTTATGGGAAGTAAATGTACATCATAGTCATGCTCTTGATTCATTGCATTATATCCTGATGTGCTAAAAACTGTGAAATTAAGTGATCAGTTTTTAAAAATATGGTAGAATGAAGATATGGTCATCATCACATTAATCTTGATGACATGAAAATGTCACTGTTGAAGGACTGGAGACCAGAGTGATGCAGATTCCCAAAACCAAGTTAGATAATTGAATTTCATGAAAATAATACACATTACTCCCTAATTTCAAAAGTTGAATCTTCACATAAAAAGGCATGGTACAAAGTAAAAGCAAAGCCAAATTCAGTATTTTCTTTGATTAAACATCATTTTATTTTCCAGAAATTCACTGACCTAAATTTCATCTCCTGCCTGGTCAGATTCATAACAAAGTGCAACATATCAACTTCGTGTCTTACATATCCTGAGGTGAAAGCAAAGCTGCTGTTCCTAAGCACTACATCACGAAGGCACACACAAAGCAAAGCATCACACATTCTACATGGAGGAAAGTGAGCAGCTTCAGGCCCTGGCTGGTTTTCCACATTGGGTGGTTAGAGGTCCAGTACCAAAGGAATAGGAACGGTCATTCTGGATATAATGGTGAGAATAAAAATCCCAGTCCCTTACTGGGATTTGGTTCATCACCATCAACCCATAGCTGGTTACATTACTGAGCTGTTCCAGCTTAATCGATTCAATAAAAAGAACCCATTGTGCACATAAGCAGTGTTATTTACAGTCTAGATATCTCTGCTGTGGTACTAGGTGTGTTACTTTGTATAAGTCTCTTTAACAACTTGTTTGTACTGTTACTTGCTCTATGTTTCAAAGTAAATGTTATGTTGTAACTTCAGGATTGGTTAATATGGAGTATGACTCTTCTTCAGTAAAATGGTCTGAGACATGCTGCTGGAACATTTCAAAGGGAATTCCATGATTGTATAGCTTGCCACACATTGGGCATATGTGTTCCTTATACTTGCTGGATGTGGTCATACTGCTTGTGGTTGATGGTGGCTCAGCCACCTGGTCCAGCTGTCTTTGAATAACTTCACTATAGGATGTACAATCAGGAATCCCCCACTTCCTCAGGCTTTCCACTTCAGCCTCGATATCTGCATCACTGTCTTTTAATGTCTGTTTCACCTCTGGCTCCTCTTGGCAGGGGTTATGAACTGCACAACCTGTAACTAGTGAAATTGAGCACAAATTAAATAAAATTGGTGAAACTAACAAAAAAATATTGTTGCATACTTTTTTTTTGTTTATCATCATAAAATATTCATATATTTTATTTAAGAGAATATGCTGAAGGAATCACATAAAAGTGAATACTCATAGAAACGTTGCTGTACATTTAAGGAATGCTTATGCTACTGGCAAAGCATGAAACTTAGGATGTGCATATAATTCCTACGTATTGTACAGAATGTCTGACAGCTTTAAGCAGAATATAAGAATTAAGCAAAACACCATCATTGAATGTGACCAGTTTGATTAATTGCATACAAATCTTTACATGTTTTGGAAGAATATCATCAGAAGGTGCTCAACACATATGGAAACGCTTTACAGTTATAACTGCCCATCAATTCTATCCCTGTGGAGTTAATTAATTACATTTACAATTACACTAAAAACAAAAGTTATTCAGCACCTGTGTTAAAATGTACAGCTGTTAATATTGTCACGTGCTGGGTGTATAACACGACAAATAATTTCGCGCCGTATTTCATATAGCAAATTTTATTTCACATTCGCTCTTACAATCACACAAATTACAATCTGACAATTACTGCCATCGGCATCACAAATACTACACTGCAAATGCTGGTTGACTGCCTGGCTGACTCGTAACTCGAGAACTAACTGTGAATAGTCTTCGCTGCTCCTTATTTAGCCCCGTTCTGGACAACACAGAAAACAGCCACGTAATAGGCACCACTGTTGTTTGCCGCCGTGGTAGCCGATAGCCTAGCAATGCTGTTGGGAGTTGTTTACCTCTACGTAGTAACTGCGGCGTCCCGTGTGATGTCACCGCTGTTTACTTGCTTTGCCTAGCAACCAGCGTGTTTGGACTCGGCTCACTTCGGCTCCTCTCGGATCCGTCACGGCTGGCGGGGAGGGAGGGGCATCATCCATAGCGCAACGCGTCACAATATATTAAAAGTCTGAGGTCAGGAAGCAACTAAATATGGACGACTTCTTAAAAAAGTCACAGGCAACAGATCCGCCATATTTTTCATACAGAGATAACTACAGCAGGGACTGGTTATTTACAAATTCCAAAGATACACAACAATAGAAGAGAATAAGTAATAACTCTGGCATATAAAATGAACTATGAACTGAATGCTAACTACAAATGCATTATACTATGTTAGTTAAAATATTATTAAATGTGTCTGCAGTTATCAAATACAGTTCAAGAATATGTGCCTAACAACATGTTTTACACATACTTTTCTCATAACCTTCTTTTTCAGCCTTTGTGCCATACTTGAAAGCCTGCCAGACGTATGCGAATCACTGTACCTTTCTTTATTCTTTCAACATTTGCAATTGCAGCCATCATCATGGTTTGTTGCTCTTTCAGCATGGCCTTCAGCTCTAGTAACTTCTTGTGGTGGTCCTTCATGTCTTCAATAGTTTCATTACCATCCTCCATGTATGCATATCCTAGGTTCTGAACGCTGTACAAAGAGGAGTCGCTCTGAATTTCCACCATCTGTAGCACAGATAAACTGTTACAGATTTGTAACAAAATTATTTTAATTTTTATATCTGCAACCACCTTTGACTAACAACATGAGTCTGATGTAAAAATGCTAATATAGTTTTTTTGGCTTCCAGATGTAGAGATGCCAGTTGAATATGTCAGATGCTGTATCATAGAGTTCACCTTCTCAGTTTTCAATGAAGATACATCATTTTGTTCATATGGCTATTTGACATGTTCCACTATGAAATGTCATCTCTGCACAGACCGTGCATTCCATTAAACAATTACTCGCAATCAACAAATCATCATCTGAGGATGAATTCTTTTAAGGATTATCGTACCAAATGCCATGGTATAGTGGTTGCTACTTCAGTTCATAATGAAGAGGTCTTTGCCTTAAATCTCAGTTGGGAAACTGGCTATTCTGAACAGATGCCGCAAGAAATGTATTAATTGTTAACAGTAAAATGTGTCAGTCAAATGTAGCTTCTGAACAATTTAATTTGTAGTGTAATATTTTGCACCTTCTGCCTGGTATGTAATCTCAGTTTTGGGGCAAAAATGGCACTATTTTTTGTGATTATCCAGCATTTCAATTAGTTCAGTGGTAGCCATCTTCAGGATTGGTTTCTACAGCATATGCCAAAACACTGCACTCTTAAAAAGGGTATCACTCATCCCAAAGAATGAGGACCATCCACTGCTCTCTAAAAACAGCCATTATATCCACTTTATATAGGTAGTGCCACTGGATAGAGAGGCATGGGAATGACAGTACTTCAAGTGAGAATGGTGACAAAGCAGCAGAGGATACCGAGGAAGCAGGACAAATGCAAAGTGAGATTTCTGAGGACCTCAGTACACAGATCAGATCTTCGTTGAACTGGAAGTCATCTGTCCAAGACATTGCCAGCTTTTCTATCTCAGACAAGACTCAGAATGAAAGAAATCGCTCAGCTTTAAACTACCGTGGTCAGAGGTCTGAAGGATCTCTGAAAGATGCAAAACTCCCAACTTCAGATATTGCAGTACCAATGGTACAGATCACTCAGCACAAAGATATTTTAGTGTCATTTGATGAACAGCAGTCAACTATAAAAAGGGAGTGTCTCCTGAATAATACTTGTACTGATGAAGTAGCCAGACTATTGGAACCTCTAGAATGTAGTGAAACGAAGTGTAAAGTACCAGAGGATACCTGTAATAACAGTACTCAAAATTTGGTGGTTAATTCATCTGGAAAGTGTGATGGTGGCAGCATCCAAGGGAAGACTGCAATTAAAGAAAAGGAACATGTGAGTTTCAGTGAGTCATCAACACAAGAACAGCCTGCCAAATTCATAAATTCTTAGATGCAAGACACCACATCATGCAGGAGTCCTAGTTCAGATACTAAACATGCAGACTCTGATACTGACATCAGAGGCACTGATATCAGAAGGAACAACTCACATGAAGTACATCTCAGACTTTGCAACTGTCATGTGGACAGCAGCAGAGAGGAAGACTAAAAGAGAGTAGGTACATCAGCAGCGGTGAGAGTGGAGGTGAAACACTTTCATCACATGGTACAGGAGGCAGCTGTTGTCTTCTTCTCAGAGAGGGCATTGCATCAGCTGGTGAGTGGATCTGAATTACAACCAACAATGAGGAATGCAGCTATAGCTCAGAACTAGAAGAAGAGCCAGTCAGCATGAATGTAATGTTCAAGACAACATATAGCTCAATGATCCTTTTTATTGGGAATTTGAGATGTCACATACTGTAATCCTGAGCCTTAGTAATCACCGCGAGAAGTGAGCCATGGGGAAGGAAGGCTAGGCCGATCACAGATGTCATAAGCACAGCCTTTTTGAAAGAAGAAATGGATGTATGCCTGTAGGCTATTGGAGACAAACAGCCTTAAGAAGGGAGCAATTTGGCATGTAGACCCACTGCTAGGCAACGACCACAGAAGCAGCAGCAGCAGCATGGCAACAATTGGAAACAGCAACAGAGGAAAAGTGTTTTCTGTGCAGCTAGTGCCAAGATGTTATAAGCAGGACAGTTAGAGTCAGTCAGTTGATTGTCGGCAGTTGGAGCAACAGGGTAGCCGTTAGACAGTCGCCAGCAGGTAAGAACATGAGCATGGAAGCAGAGGACACTGTTGGGATCTGTCACCAGGCAACGACTGGCGAAGACACAGCAGGCTGAGAAGACCTAGTGTGTCCTATATTGATTTGTGAAGTGCTTGAAATGTGTGGCCCAGTGAGACTGCTATAGTTACATTCTGTAAGTGCATAATAAATCCAATTACCAATCCAAACCCTGTCTACAGTCAATCATGTGACAATATATTTTTGCTCTCCTGATGTACATTTCACACGAAAGGCTCATTACCTGTGCATACTGTTCTTCAAGCTCTGTTTTCTCTTGCAGAAAGCTTTTAATAAGTTTCAGTGAAATCTCCTCCAGACTCTCCTCGGAAACTTCTGAAACACAATCACGATGCAAGGCGTCACTGTTACTTTTACATTTTAACATTTTGGTAAGTATACTCTAATGTCAAGAGCATTTCAAAGTCCAATTCTGTATACATTATAATAAGTTATTCAGAAATATAGACACACCATACAGTATCCTTTTGTGGTTGTGAGAAATACTTTTTTATACCAATCATACTTATATACATATGTACAGCGAGAATAATTACATGGCTGTGCTGACATACATCCCCTCTGCTGTGTGCTCACTGTGTGGGTTGTCCCTTATGATCTTAGATGCAGTGATAGTGACACTAAACCATTTGTAGAGTGAAGGTCTCTGGTCCACTTGCAGTAGCTGCCTTATGTATCACTCAGAATTAAATAGATCTACTGAAAGACAAGGTCCATAATCTTTGCAGACAGGTCACACTAAACACAGCTTTACATCATGGAGTTGAACTAAGATGTGGATTATTTTCTGTACCTTAATATGTGTCAGCTTGTGTGTTCACATGTCCACTCATATAAAATCAAGCCTCGTCTTAAAAAAATTATTTCAGCTTGGGATCAAGCCTGCCACCATGAACTGACTGAAGATACTAGTTACAGAAATTCCTAGATCACATGTCTGCAAAGTATGCAAAACTGTGGTTCTGTTATGTCATACTTTCAGTAGTGATTCTTGCAAGTTGCCATTTTGTATTGCACATGGGTAAGTGTACATGACTGTTACAGCTATTTTATATGAATATTATGTTAAATATGAGACAATTACGGAGTGACAGAGAAAGTTTCCCAACCAAATGATATTCAGAATGTTGTCAGTAAAGTAAAAACTACAACTTTATTAAGAGATGGGAAACCAGAATACGGGGGATGAATATTAAGACAAGAAAAGTTGGATGATACCAGACCTCAACTTGGACATTTACTTTTTATGCATCTTGTAAAAGAAACAGAAACATCAGTAAGCCTAAGGACCTCAAGAGAATTGTTTAACCATGGCCTTACAAAAGCAGAGTTGTGCGCTTCTTTCAGACATTTTCGGCAACTGGTTCATGATGGTGAACTTTATTCCAAAAGGATTATTTTTTCCAGATAAGGCTTGGTTTTATCAGAATGGACACAAAGCAACTATGGAACACAGGAAATGCACATCTTAATACACAAAGTTCTGCTTCATGATATGAAAGTTTGTATTTAGTGCACCCTGAGTGCAAGTGAGATTACAGGCATTATGTTTGGTGAGGATAAAATTGATTCCAAAAGGCATGTAAGATAGGTATGGCAAGTGGGCCAATATTCTTCACATTATGATGGTACAGTCTCAGTACTGCTGCAGCTGACCAGGTAGGAAGGGTGTGAGCATGTACACCAACAGAATTGCCATACAGCCACTTTCTATAAGTGGAATTTCACATTTTCCAATTTAAACAATTATTACTCTTGTAAGATCTGAGGCTTTCACGGCGGTGACTATGAAGAAAGCAGTCTTCTGGGATTTGGCACCGTGTATATGTGGTGTTAACCGACGTTTCGGAGGAACGTATCGCCCCCATCTTCAGGGTTGAAGAAGTATAAGTAAATCTGCAAGCGACAACACCGTGAGACACGGTCTGCTTGACCGTGTCTCACGGTGTTGTCGCTTGCAGATTTACTTATACTTCTTCAACCCTGAAGATGGGGGCGATATGTTCCTCCGAAACGTCGGTTAACACCACATATACATGGTGCCAAATCCCAGAAGACTGCTTTCTTCAATTATTACTCTTGATAAATACATTTTAAGGCCTACCAAATATGTGTGCTGCTAAGTGGAAGCAGGCAGCAGAGACCATTATTAGTGGAGATGAAGTGAATATTTACTGAAACTAAAGACACCAAATATTAAATTACTATCCTAATATTCCAAGGTTTTGCAGTAGCACCATTTGATGATCCTACTTGTGGCAGGTGTTGGTACATTAATGACAGCCTTACCCAAGTACTGTCCATGCTCTTGTGAGTCCCTTTACTCATACTTGATTTGCTGAACCCTGGTTAACTATCATATGGTCCCAAAGTTCCTGATGGGATAAATGACGGGGACTCAACAGATTATTAGTCATGGGGCAAGGGCAGTCTGATATCCATCCACTTCTAATATTGTTCCCCCCATACCCTTCTAGACTGGGACCTCTTACTGAATGCAAGAAGAGCACTGGACAAAAATTACAAGTTACATGGAAGATTTGATCATTGTATAGGTTGGTTTAGTTTTGTATAGCTGAGATTACTTCCATACATTGACTAGAAACACTTCTGTATATACATAAAACAAAAACCTTCCTCTGGCATACAGTAGGAGGGGTGTCCAGCTGGCTGTGTGACATGCTGGGGAAATTATCTACTCAACTGTTTTTTTAAGAGTTCGGCCCTCTAGTGTTTTTTTGTAGTTACTGTTAATAATGCTTTGTCACGGGGCTTAATATTGTGGCATATTCACTCAAAGCAAGAATTGTGGAGCCACAGCAGCGTCCATTACTAGGCAGTGGCCAGTAAACAACAGAGGAATGGTGTTTTCTGTGCAGTCCACGCTGATGGCTGCATATGCAACACTGGAGTACATAATGCAATCACTAAGCAAGAATTGCACTGCAACAGAGGAACTGTTTTCTACGCAGTCCATGCGAAGATATTATAAGCAGTATAAGTTTGGAGTCAGTCAGATATAACAAGCAAGGTCACACAAAAGCATAAATAAATGTTCGCAATATTGGACAAGGTGAAGCCCGACACAGAAAGTATAAGAGGCTTAAACTTGGCAGCGGTCAAACATACGACCATTCAATTGACTAGACTGCCATTGTAGTGGAAGCTACTAGAAATAGGGCATAATCTGCTGTACTAAGCCTGGACTGACAGAGGCCCTGTATATATTTTACATACATTTATTAACATGTAAAGTGTAAATATCCTTTACATTATGACAAATGACTTACTACTGCAGTATTGCAGGCAATGATTCTGACAAAAGACAGAGCCATCCTCTTGTCAGAGAGGGCACACCACAATAACAAGACCATAACTGTCAAACACTAATAAATACAGACTGACTGACCGACCATCAGTCGCAATGTGACTTTGACTTCGGTCAGATAACTGGTGGGGCATCCCATGTGTAGGCAGGGTTGAATACCTCCACCATAGCCCTGTGAGTCATAGGAGGTGACAAAAAGGGACATATCAAATTTCAGACAGTAAAATATGTTCACGAGAATGACTGTGCTGGCAAGAGCCAGCAGCAAATGCATACGACAGACCCGTCCTCTCGTCAGAAAGAGCACCCCACACCAACAAACCCACAACTGTCTGACAGTAATAAAAATCTCGTTGTAAGCTCTAGATGGGTGCTTTACTCCAAGACAGACCGGCTAACTGACCGTTGGTCATAACATAGACTTGGACTAATTGGTGGGGTTCAGTCATGAGCTGTTGTTGTGAGAAGCTGGTAGCAGAGACTTGAAACTGTTCGGAAACCCAGAGGAAGGGGAACGTCTGCCACTGGAAGCTGCTACCAAGCAACAGCTAGTGAAGACTAACAGACTAAGAACACCTAGTGTTCCCTATAGTGATTTGTGAAGTGTGTAGAACAGCGACAGCACAATCCTTACCTGTAGTTGAGTTGTCGAGTTCAATAAATCCAATTACTGATCCAAACCCCATCTATACTCACCAAAATTGTGAAAATATGTAAGAGAATGCAGTATCTGGGTCCTTGTTATAGCACCTTGGTCCCTATTTCTGACATTCCAGCCTAATCCTTTTATGTTTTTAAAGAAGTTAAATTAAAATTACTGAAGTTCATCTGTAAAACCTACTGCTTTATTGTCTATTACAATCTCATGACAAGTAAAAACCTCATTATATCTGGCTCTGCAATTTCTTAATACCATCTTGTTCTTATGAGATGCAGTCTACAGTTTTGGATGGATCACTGTGTAGTCTGGTAGAAGTCTACCTATGTGTTGGACAAATGCAGTGCCTCCACCTTCAGGGCTGAATAGTAAACCAATCACAAAACTATTAAGACATACTGTCAGTCACCATCCACCAGACTACATGGCATTATGTCGTGGAACACTACTCTTTACGGTGGCTACTGTGAGAACCTCAAATTTTTCATATGTCATCAAAATTTCATGCTGTGGTAAAAGTATGCATGCACACATGCACATGAAGTTCTGAAAATGTGAATGTAGGATGGCAGCAGAACAGTGTAACATAACATTAAAAGCCAAACATATACTTAACCCCGATATTTTTGCAAATGAGCCACTATATTTCTTAATGTTGTCTGTACCTGTGCCTTTATTTGCTACGTTATATCTTCCTTTAGTCAACACATTGTCTGATGACAAGTTCAGTTCACCTCTATGTGACAAACTGCTTGCTGGTAATTGTGATTTTGGTATTACTATGCTGTTAGTTGAATGATGTCGATTCAGAGTGCTAGATATTTTAGACAGATGGCTGCCAAGATTCTGGTTTGCTTGTGTAAGATTCGAAAGTCTGTTCCACAACTGCCTGTTTTCAGTAGCTACCATGAACAGGTGATGAGTTAGCTGGGACTTCTGGCGGGTCAACATTGCCACTTTCTCTTCCAGACAGTCAATCTTGAGTTTTGAGTCCTCTGGTTCACTTTCTGATGCATTTTCTGCGGTTGCACAAGCTGAATCTGATTTTCGTTTCCTGTATTCAATACGTAAATTAAGGTTTTCTTCTTCAACAGCCGCCAGCCTTTGCTGTAAATGTTGACATCTTTCTTTCATAGTTTGAAGAGCCACTTGGAGTGCATAATGTGAGCCAACTGCTTCTTCCACACTTTTCGGTCTACACACAGACTGGTCCAAATCGCTGTCTTTCTTTTCAAGACTCATAATTTCGTTACAATATTGTTTCAATTACGTTAAACATATTCTGTTGAAGAGGTTAATTAAAAACTATTTCATAAACAGATATAACACGTAACTACGTAAAACAACTTGGAACTTCCATAAAACACTAATGGTTCTAAATACTGGGTTTTAAATGCTTCTTATCTATCTTTCCTGTTTTATGGTATTACATCACATTAACGGCACACACGCCGTAACTTCTCACGTACTGACAATGTGTTGGTCACACTGGTCACACTGGTCATCTCACTGAACACTGTGTTGACTTTGCGTTCCGCTTTATTGCCGTCCATTTTATGAACACTGAACTATGCTGGACTGAGAACGGATGTGTAACTCTGTCCAGCATAATGTGCAAAGAAATTGTACAGGTACGTATGAAACATGAAGTTACATACCGAAGCTGGAATTCATGAAGGAATAAAAACTTTCTTAAGTATCCCTGCACGGAAAGCTAGCAAACATTAGTGAAGTCACAAGCGTCAATCTGGTGCCTGGTAGGCCAGTGGTTGTAGTGGTGGTCCGCATGTGACAATAGATAACCCCGCCTTTCTACGCCAATTGTTCTGGGTTGTGATACCGCGAAGTGTACTTTTATCTCAGATGTGACAGCACGTTCTCCGAAAATTCGTCCCACTATGCATCCGTGACATAAATTTGGTCACCTACAAGTAAGCCCTTGAAGGCATCTAACTCCATTAACACCGCCGTGAAAATCTTTAGTCTCACATTCTGTTAGACCATTTAACTTTTAACGAACGATACACATTCGTTCGTTAACAGTTAAATGATCAAACAGAATGTGAGAATATATATATATATATATATATATATATATGCGGCAGCACACGTGCTCGCTTTGGGAGTGCTGACAGTTTGATCTTGGGTTTGAAACCAAAATAAAAACACCCAAGGTCATGTCAGAGGATCATTTGTTAGCGCTGAACAATGAAATCGTTTATCAGTTTCTGGGAGAGAGGTCCGTCGCCCCGAAGGGGCTCTCCATGAGGTTTTAGTCTCGGTTCCCACGCTTCCATAATCTCATCAAAAGTACCTCCTGCCATACTCTATAAGGAGCGGTTTTCACAGTCAATAAGGGAGATAATAAGAAACTAAGATGCTACATTTTTTACTACACTTCGTGGCTTTCGAGTATTCTAGTTTTACTCCACAGATGGCACTATCGTTAGATACTACATGTCTTCACAAAATTGTTTCCATTTCTATGCATTTCTACTCATGTACTTCCTTTGGTTAGCTATCTTTGTAGCAAAAATTTCACACGCAACCATAATCCCTTGCGATTTTTAATAAAAGCGCATACCCGCTTAGGCGAGTGTTCTAATGAGCGGAAGCAAAAATGTTCCCTCCCGCCAGCTCCCTCCTCCCTTACCGTCTCACTCTTCACTTCTTGCCATGCTGTTGGTTTTCTTCACCAATTTCTTCTCTTCATTTTTTTCCACAAAAATCCTCCTGGTTTTGAACCAGGGACCTTCTGAACACTAGGCTGATGTCTTACCATTAGACCACCAACATCACCGAAATTTATTTACTTTAATCTTCCTCTGAATGGGCTACAAATTAAGAGAAAGAGACTGGCCAACCGTCAGTCGTAAAATGACTTTGAAACGAAGCAAGAAATAAAGAGGGATTTTGTAAAGGTAGAAACGAAGCGGTAGGATATGTGGAAGACGAAGGCGAATATTTGTCAAAATCATGGCGGGCCTTTGGTAAGGCACTGGCCTATGGTTTAGAAGATACGTGGTTCGAAGACATGACTCTTTTTGTGAAAAAAAAAAACAATGTAAGTAATTTGTGCATGTAGGAAGCAAGTCGTACTATATGAGGAAGGCGAAGGTAGCAAATGCGTATAGATCTGGTGGTACGTGGGTAAGACATGGGCGTAGTATTTGGAAGGTACCGGGTTCGAGACCACGGTGTCTTTTATCAATAGAAATTGAAGAGTGAATAAATAAAAACGACTTTTCTGCAGAAATATACCAAGTCGTAGAATATGAGGAGGATCGCAGAAAGTTGCAGCATAGATGTTCTGGTGGTCAAGAGGTAAGGCACCGCCGTTGTAAATGTAAGGTCCGTAGTTCGAAAACACAAGAATTTTTGTAATGACATTTTTCTGGAATTATATAGCGAGATGTAACATAAGAAGAAGATTAAAGGTAAAAAATTTCCGTGGCATTGGTGGCCTATTGGTAAAACACCGGCGTAGTGAACGGAGGTTTGAGACTAAGTATAGTTTTGTGATGTATAAAGTAAGTTAATTGATTTTTCTGTAATTATAACCGAAGATGTAGCTTAAGAGGAAGATAAAAGAAAGTAAATTTCAGAGGTGCTGGTGGGTTAGGGGTAAGACACCAGCTTAGTGTTCAGAAGGTCCCTGGTTCAAAACCGGTAGGATTTTTGTGGAAAAAAAATGAAAAGAACAAAACGAACAGCAGTGCAAGAAGTGAAAAGATAGAGATAAGGAGGGGGCGAGGGAGGGCATATTTTTGCTTTTTTTTTTTTGCGGCCGCTCTT